GGAAGAGAGCAGTGCGTATGTTACAGTCACCATCACACGGTTACTATACTCTGACACGCTAGCGCGCACACGCTCACCAATACATCTCCCTGCGACATTCGTCCCCAAGCGTCGTCCTTCACAATCCTACAGGGCTCGAATTTACGATGACAAATTATGCGAAGCGCGTAAAATACTGTCGTGCCCATTCCAAAACCTGTCGGCCTTAAAAATCTAGCAAAATCGAACGGTGCAACAACGCACATACACACACACGCACACACATATACGCGCGCACACACGTGTACAAACACGCACACACGCACACAGACCCACACACACACACATACACACACGCACGCCCGCGCATACGTATACACACACACATACATACACACGCACGCGCGCGCATACGTATACACACATACACACACGCGTGCGCTCATGCACGCGCTCACACACAGACACACACGCGCGCGCACACACAACACGCACGCACGCACAAACGAAACCCTAAAATACCTGAACGCTGAACGTAGATTCGTTGATCTGTAAGCGTCAACGCAGCAAACCGCAATCTACCCTTAATTCACGGACACCCTTCTTACAGTCACTACTGCCATCTACTGGTCATGTGTCAGTCAGCAACTGCTACAAACGCACGCCTATCCGCGAGATCAAGTCCAAACTGAAGTCCCCCGGTAGATCCACTGGCTACAGAATGCTATCTTGAAGTCGCCAACGATAGCAGTTGTAACAGCTTGTACACACACACACACACACACTGAACGCCTTGCACGCTGTTCCCCACCACGCGACGTGTACCCACTAGACTACCTCACGAGACGCAGGAATAAAAACACGACCTATATTTGCATCCGAACCGGCCACCGGGTGAATAGATTGATCTGTTTTTTCTTCCCCGCTGGAGTACGTCGCTCACGCCAGCACAGGTCGTCGTGTGTGGAATATATCAACGGAAACGCGCTACCCACGTACAGAGACGGCCACGAGGACACGAACACACAGTCCCTCTGTGTCGGTGTGTGTGTGTGTGTGTGCGTGCGTGCGTGCGTATGTGTGTGTGGGAGGATATGCGTCCGTGCGTGTGTATACATTATTGTTGATCTGTGATATATATGATAACGTGTGTGTATTTAATTGCTAGACAAGCTGCTCGACCATTGATACTCTCTCTCGGGTAGCAATGACTTGTGTATTCTCAGATAGGACGGACCGCGCCATCTCACACTGTGACATTTGCTTGTTATCTCGCTATATATTAAACCAGCAGAATCCAGCAGATATGCGGCTCTGTGGTATAAGTATATGCAGCATAACTCGATAATAATAATCTTCTAGCTGTGGGACACTGACCGAACCGAGCATGGTCCTCCTTAGGTAGAAATAATTTAGATGGTTCCTTCTAAGCAAGGGTAGACACTTCAGAGTACTCCTGGGTTGCCTCTACCACCTTACTCAGTCCCTGGTTGCCTCTACCACCTTACCCAGTCCCTGGTTGCCTCTACCACCTTACCCAGTCCCTGGTTGCTTTTACCACCTTACCCAGTCCCTGGATGCCTCTAACACCTTACCCAGTCCCTGGTTGCCTCTACCACCTTACCCAGTCCCTGGTTGCCTCTACCACCTTACCCAGTCCCTGGTTGCCTCTACCACCTTACCCAGTCCCTGGATGCCACTAGCACCTTACCCAGTCCCTGGTTGCCTCTACCACCTTACCCAGTCCCTTGTTGTCTCTACCGCCTTGCCCAGTCCCTGGTTGTCTCTACCACCCTTACTATTCCTTGGCTACCTCTGACACCATCCCGGATTGATTCTGAAACCTTTCCTGCAACTTGCTTGCACCTGGAACAGTACAGCTATTGCTCCCTAACTTCCCCACAGCTCACACTGCGTTGCTACTTGTACTTTAGTAAAGGGACGCATACAGGCAGTCAAGCAAACAGCGGACATAGCACGAGATAAGGATGGCAGTTTATCTACACATACAATGTAAACTCATAGAGGGCTCGTTCCAGCTGTTTTAAAGTTTGAGCTAAGGTTTGAGCCAATGCGGGTATGTCTTACGAGCGTAATCTGTCACGTTGTGTCCCAGGGTCGTGATTCGAACTTGGCACGCAGCAGTGAATGTAACACAAACATGGATTATGCATCTGATCCCCCGTGAAGTATACAACTGGTATTCAGAAATATCAGTTCATAACCATATTGGCAGCAGGCCAACTTGCCAGGAACACGAAAGAATACCACCTCGCGAGATTGCTATACGCTACATAGTTTCAAACACGATTGTATAACCAGTATCCTGAACTGTTAACCCAAACTAACCGCAAAACCCCCTTTCCTTTTCTCACAAATTATTAGAAGAAAGTAAGAACGAATGTGGTGCATGACTCAGACCATTTAATTTCAGGTTTAAAAATCATAAATCCTATATTTGCATTAGTTGCTTAGAGGGTTCACAATCCTGCTTATATAATATACCATAACAGAATCTGTGGTTACACATGCACAACAATGACAACAGGAAAATTGTTAGATGGAGAAATAGAACAGTCAGAGGACAGGTTCCAATGTAAATAATGTGTGAAGTAGACGAGAAGATATATATATATATATATATATACAGCGCTTTCATCTTTATAGAATCTTCAGGTGCATAACTATTTACACTTTACATTGTAAATAGTTATGCACCTGAAGATTCTATAAAGATGAAAGCGCTTGTATAAAACTAAATGTCAGATTACTCTTTTGTTTTAAATATAACAACTGAATATCGTGCAACCTAAGAGGCTAAGAACCACATATATATATATATATATATATTGAATTTATTCTCTGGGAGAAGAAACAATGAGTACCTGGGAGATATGAGCATGACGTCACTGCCCTGATACTGTGCCAACCCACAACTGTGTTGGTCCAGTCACGAAATCACAAGCTGAACCAATAGAGAGGAAGGAATGAGAGAAGACACCTATCACAGCAGCAATGCTTCACTCGCTCCTCCTCGGATAGACGCCTCGTCACACTAAAAAGACAGCAACATTCACCCGCGAGTCGAAACACAAGTTTCCCTTGCCGCCCACGCACTGCCTGCGCAAACAGAACTCATCGCAGGGGGCGCCACTACCCGTGTCTCTATGTACACGCACGCGGACGTCGTCAGAAGTTAATCATGCCGAACAGGTGAGGCACCATCGTTAGCCGGTCGATGTGATTCTGCTGCTTTGTTTCCCACGCCTTCAACGTCACCAGCTCCCGCTCAGCTCTCACCTGCAGCTCCTTTAGTTCGTACACCTGATTATAGAGGACGCCGCCGTCACGCTCCAGGTCGACGGCGGCCGCACGCAGCCGTCGAAGTTCGCGTTCGCGCGCGAGATTCTCCGCGAGGACGCTCAGCGTGTACTCCTGCATGTCGACGGGGGGTTGCTGCGGCGGCGCGGCGGGGACGGGCGTGGCGGCGGGCGCGGCGGGCGCGTCGAGGCCTCGGCGCATCGCGCGGAGATGCTGCTTGCCGAGGAGATGCTCGCGCTTGTTGTGCAGCGTGACGAAGTACTGGTCGCAGACGCCGCAGTGAAGCTGCGAGCCGTCGGCGGGCTGGTCCGTCGCGCGGTACGCTTGCATCTCGGCGACGTATCGCGTCTTGCTGCGCTCGGCCTCGTCGAGATACTCCTTCTTCTGCGACGCGCCGAGATGCGTCCACTCGTTGCCGATGTGCCGCGTGATCTCCGCCGGGGAGAGGGCGCCGCCGTTCGACGACCGCAGCTCGGCGCGCCGTTTCCGCAAGTAGAGGAGGTAGCCGGTGACGGGCGGCCGCGGTGAGTCGTCAGGCGGCGCCACCGGCAGCTTCGACCGCCGCTTCCCTTTCGGCCAACCGCTCTTCCGCTTCTTCCGCGGCGGCGGCGCGACCGTGGCGCCACCGTCCGCGGCGACGTCCTGTAGGTACTCGCCCGTCGCCGCGGCGTCGGGCGCGGCGTCGGGCAGCTGCGTCCCTAGCGCCACCTGGAGGTCGGCGAGGTTGTCGCCGGCGCTGTACACGCGGTAGGTGCCGTCGCCGACGGGAACGCACAGGAGTCCGCTGCTCGTGTCGACGAGGACGCCGTTCGCCGTCGCGATGTCCGGGTTAAAGTTCACGCCCGACAGCAGGTTGCCATCGCCAGGGGGCGCCGCCGCCGCCTCCGTCTCGCCGCCCATGACGGTCAGCGAGACGGGGTTGAGTTCGACGACGTTCGACAGAAGCGGGATGTTGTTGTCGACGGTGGCGCCGTCGCTCTGCAGCTGCGTGGCGACGCCGGGGGCGTCGAGAATTCCCGGGAGGGCGCTACCGTCATCCAGCACTGTACAGAAGTCGTTCGAGATGGACGAATCGGGTTCATCCATGCCTCGCGAGTCCCCCGCGGAAGTCGTTATCATCCAAGAGGCATAGCAGTGGTGAGACGATCGTGGAAACATCTGAGAATTTGCAAAATCGTTGTAGCATCAGCAAAATAGTATAGATCGCAAGATATAAGTAATCGTACAGTTGTATAAAGTGTACACTTTTTAAATAAAACTGTTAATGTTTAGCTTGCAGTCTCATAATGTGATATCAAGTGAAATAGCTGAGCAGTGTCTGAGCAATGAAATAATGGGTTACGACTAAATTCTAATAGTAATACCATGAACATATTATGTCATTAATAATACATACGGATACTGTAAGTCTGTATTGTGTGTACAGTACTGTACAGTAGTGAGTAGACTAGGCCTAGTGAGGCTGAGAGGGTCTATGTCCCCCATGGGTACGGTTCGGTATACCGGAACGTAACCTGGTACTACGGCCGGCTATCTAATAAGTAATATGCCAGACCGTACCTCGCCTAGTCCACTAACGAGTTTAGGGAGTCGCTAGACCGAATAATTCTGTACCATATAACATTTTTTATATTTTGGTGAAGGTTATTAGGACAGAACGGGGTTCATTGAATTTCGTGAGATCGCATGCAAAATGCATGCGCTGCGAATGCGGCCCTTACGCCGCTATTGCCGCGAAAAAACCCTACCGTTCCCTTCTACATGGCTTTACCTTGCTACTGATATGTGTATACATTCACTTCAATCGTTATTCACTTCTTAAAAGATTGTTTTTCAGAAACCCGCTTCATTCCACTTTCGTAAATCACATTCGCCATTTACAAACAATCAGACCAATCAGAGCGATTCTATCAGCCCTCCTGCAGCGCCACAGATACAAGCAAGAACCAGGCTATTGTAAGACTCGCTCTGATTGGTCTGATTGTTTGAAAATGGTGAATGTGATTTACAAAAGTGGAATGAAGCGGGTTTCTGAAAAACAATCGTTTAAGAAGTGAATAACGATTGAAGTGAATGTATACACATATCAGTAGCAAGGTAAAGCCACATAGAAGGGAACGGTAGGTTTTTTTCCGTGCCAATAGCGGCATACGGGCAGCATTCGCAGCGCATGCATTTTGCATGCGATCTCACAAAATTTCAATGAACCCCATTCTGTCCTAATAACCCTCACCAAAATATAAAAAAGGTTATATGGGACAGAATTATTCGGTCTAGGGAGTCGCCTACGCCTACTTCCTAAATCTAACACTAATCCTAACCCTAACCATACCAAATAGTGACCAGGGTACGTTCCGGTATACCGGACCGTACCCAGGGTATGTTCCGGCAGTAACCTGGGGGACATAGACCCTATGAGCCCTAGTCAGTGGTAATTCAAATTCAAAGAACGTGGATATTCGTCCGAGCATCAGACACCTGTTCCGCTCGTATGCGCTATTCGTCCGAGCAGTTGTTGCGCATGCGCTGTTCATGTTGTACTACATAAATGTAATATAATGCTAGTCTAGCGAGGCGCCTACTCTCTAACACTAACCCTAATCCTAACCCTAACACTAACTATAAACCGACTCGGTTCTATTATTATACGCTCGGTTTCGTATATATACGCGAGTGATAGTACCAAACACTATCTATGGTGTATAACCACATACGCAACGCATGTATGCAGGAGCGTCACAGCCGTAGGCGTAGGGCTGCCGTAGCAAAACGCTACGGGCCCCCAGCCTAAAGAGCGTCTAGATTTAAAAATTGTCTGGGGGGATGACCCCCCAGACCCCACCTTCACACTTCCTACCTTTGGCACTCGTGCCGTGCGCCCTGCGGCATGCAACATGAACAGCGCATGCGCACCAACTGCTCGGACGAATAGCGTATAGTTATACGAACAGGTGTCCGATGTTCGGACGAATATCCACGCCGTAATTCAAAATCAAATTATTACTAACCCATCAACTTAAGCATTGAAAGTACGTGTAATATAAAGACATCTTTTACAATTAAAAAGAATAAATACTCCTAGTCCTACGGAGCCAACATATAATTGGTAGATGTAACTTTTGTTATGATTTGGACAAGCCCAGTGGCAATAACTATAAATTATAAAGTCTGCTTTTGTCTAATATAGGGCGCCGCCATTTTTGTTTTACCTACACGAACATATTTTTAGCATGCGAGTTACAATATATTATAAGCCGACTTTTTACAATAGTACATAAAAATTAAGCCAAAAATAATTTTATTTATTTTGATACTTTATAGCATATAAAAACAAAGATGGTTAAATAATATAGTTTCAAATCGCGAGAGCACATCATTTGTAGGAGGTGTTTACCCGCCATATTGTGTTAGTTTCGTAATTTTTGTCACTTTTATATTTTATCTGTGCGTTTTCTAATATGACTCTTAATAATGAACTTTTTTAGTATTGATCGATATACAGTATATTCACGCAGTGGTTATTCATTAATTTACTACTATTTATAAGCTGTTTTATTAATATTTTATGTGCCTCAAATGTTCCAGGAAATAACAGATACCTGCAGCGTTGAGAAGAGCTAATGGTAAACTATCATCAAGATCCATTACCAGCAAAGTGATACACACCTTCCTACGACACACTGCGAATTAGATATACATAATATTTTTCGTAAACAATCGCCACACTTTATAATTACTCTAAGTAGGTTATTAAAATAATTAGCAATGCCTCGTAGAAAACGTGGGAAATCCAAGAAGATCAACATGGAGAGCAGAGCAGACGAACCTGATCAGAATGAAGATGAAACGGTTGTAGACCAACCGGCAGACGAAGATGAGGATGCAATAAGTAAGGAGGCAATACTGCCAATAGAAGAAGATGCTGTGAGCATTGCAACAGAAGTTCCTGTGGTGATGATAGAACTAGTACTAGAGGATGCACCTGTGGATTCAACCACAGAGCAGTCGGCAATAGAGGAAGCTACTCCAGAGACAGATGATGTAGTCGCAGAGCCGAACGAGGTAGCTACTAGTACTAGTACAGGCTATTGTGAAACACGGGCGGAGATAGTTTAATTGTGGGGTTTACATTTGATGTTTTGTAACTATATACCTTGCCCTTTGTACACTGCCCTAACATGATATAATGTTAACGTGGAATGATCAGAAGCTCCGTGTGGAATTTCTCAGTGCCATGATAATTCCTGAAATACGCTTATTATTAAGCCAATTGTTTTATATTTTATAAAAAATTCTAGTTATCTAATCAACAAAGAAAACCCCATCTGGCCACTAGATGGTGGGTGCTTGCCTATATACATTTTGCATAGGAACCATCTGTTTATATTCTCTTTGCTTGCCCCACATCCTACCAATTGATATCTCCTAATTAATACAACCTAAAATATTTTTCTACTGCTTGACAATCTTAAATGCTCCCAATTACTCGGAAGCTATGGATGCTGGATAATTTGCTATATCCTGATATGTCGATATGTACTCAGTAAATTGAATGAAATACTATTCTAACGGCTGCATTTTTAGCTAATCGTTTAATAACGTGAGTGAATATCAGTGAACTGAACGAAACAACTGAAATGTACAATTTCTTTTGTCAATACATGTGTTCTTCTTCTACTTGCAATGCAGGATCCAGAGTTGGTAGAGCCGGACGATCAGGAACGTTCTATAAAGGATGTCACTGTGGACTTTATTAAAGGTCAGATTTTACAACCCCGTGTGAAGATGAACTAGAGATAACAAGTTGAATGGTGCAAATTTGTTGTGTGGATGTGCACTTACAATAAAAATAAATTTTAAAAAATTGCTGGGAAAAATAATAAATTTGCAGGGGTAGAAATAAGGAGAGAAAAAAGAGATGGTCCACAGGACCATCTAGTTTGAAATTTAGAAGGTCCTAAATTTGAGATGGTCCTCCTAAATTTCAAATTGTTCTCTAAAAGTAATGCGCGTGCAAGCATAAGAAAGAGATTTTACATAGTGATAAAATGGTTTAATTATTCACCTACAATGAATGTATCAAACGATACAGTAATTGTTTATTCACTTTAATAGTATATTGGTTAATAAAGTTATTTCAGTAGAATTTAGTTGAACCCATAACACCGGAATAGTATTAGTAACATTCTTTCATTCAAGCAGTTAATTCAAGCGAGTATAAGCCAAGTTCTTGGCACACTCTATCATGTCCATCTTATCTAATATTTGTTCATCTTCCTCTTCAACATAATCTGCACTATCTTTGGAATATTGCACGTGGAAACTTCAAAGAAAATTACCGTAAAATATGTCCAAAATATTCAATGGTCTGTCGGACCATTGACTTTGAAAATATGATGGTCCTCCTGATTATTTGATGGCCCCGGACCATCGGACCATCGCTTATTTCGACCCCTGAACGTGGGTATTTTAGCAGAAGTTGCGGTCAGTGCAAGTGTTGTTTCACCAATTAATCTTCATTTATTGAGGGGCGGATGATTCTGTTAACATACAATATTTGTTCGTAAATTATTTAACCAGATTTACTTACTACCCCTCCCCCCCAAACAAAAATCCCAAATACCTACAATTTCTACGTACGTCTGACCCACCACGAACAGCGAGTTTGCTCGTGTCACATTTAGCATCTCTCTCGTATTCCAGAGGACCTACTTGGGCGGCAGCAGACGCGGAAGAAGACTTACTTCCGTCAGGTTAAAACCAAAGAGGAACTTCCTTCCGGTTACCAGCGACCCCAGCGACCGTAAGTCTGCGCACGCCTGCAGAGGGCGCCACCCGATCGCCGCGCGGCGTGCGCGAGCGTTTACACCTACCCTGTTACTTTACGTGCGTTACTGTTGATACTCGCTCGACAGTCTATTTGTCGACAATCGTCAATTGACAATCGACCATCGATTTGTCGCATTCGGGATTGAGGTGACGCGTCTCCGTCGTTTCGTGTGTCTCCGCAGGCGCCCCCTGGTGAAGCCGCGTAAGGTCAAGGCGATTCAGCTGCACGCGTGGCAGGCGCTGATCAGGAACGACGGCTACGTGCGATGTCCGCTGAAGTACTGCGGCCGTGAGATGCGATCGGTCGCCGGGATGAGCGCACATTACCTCACATGCAAGGGGGTGAGTTAGCTGCTGTCGCGATATGTCATAAGAATCCTCACTGGTGCCTTGTATCATTATCAGCAGCTGCAGCGGTGGCAGTAGCAGCAGTAGCACCACCAGCAGCAGCAGCAGTAGTAGCAACAGTAGTGGCACCAGCAACAACAGCAACAGCAGCAGTAGTAGTAGCAGCAACAGCAGCAGTAGCAGCAGCAGCAGCAACAGCAGTAGCAGTAATAGCAGGCATCCACTCACATTATATTCCAGGGTTTGAAATTAAGGAAGTCATGCTTTTCCTTTCTGCTTGATTGTTGTCCTCCTGGGTTGAGTAGGCTTGCTGCCTGCTTTCTAAAAAGTTTTTTTCTAACCCTGTTCTCGCTCTCCTCGTCTGCAGCTGCCGCCCAGCAACGATAAGTTCCAGTGCGGATTCTGCGGAAAGTTCCAGAACGATGAGCCGGCACTGGTGGGTCACATGGAGGATGCACATCCAGAGTGGGACACTTATGTCGTCGACGACAATGAACGTGAGTACGATGGGGGGGCAGGGTGGTGGTGGCAGGGGGCAGGGCGGTGGTGGCGGCGAGGGGGCGAGGGGTGGTGGGGGCAAGGGTGTTTGGTGGCAGGGAGCAGGTGGTGGTGGCAAAGGGGGGGGCCAGTGTGGTGTGGCAGGGGGCAGGGTGGGGTGGCAAGGGGCAAGGTGGTGGTGGCAGGGGGCAGGGGTGGTGGTGGCAAGGGGCAGGTGGTGGTGCAGGGGCAGGGTGGCTGGTGGCAAGGGGCAGGGTGGTGGTGGCAGGGGCAGGGTGGTGGTGCAGGGGCAGGGTGGTGGTGGCATAGTGTGAAAGTGAGAAAAATATATATGATAGCAAGATAATATGTTTAAAGGGAGATGAGAAGTAGAGTTGTGGGTTCCTTATTAACTAGCGTACGATCAGTGATAGCTCATAATCTTACGTACGATGTTACATCATTAGATATTGCGTGTGTATGACGTCTGCCCTCGCATCGCGTGTAACCGATTCGCTCGGCCGCTTCAACACAGACACGTCGACATTAACGAAGCACTCCTCATCAGCAGCTGTTGCCGATGGCGATGCCGGTGGCGCCACCGCGCAGGAGGAACCCGAGTCGCCGCCGCCACCTGTCAAGCGCCCGCGCGGCCGCCCACGCAAGCACCCGCTCCCCTCCACCCCCGCCGCCCCCGCCCCCAAGCAGCCGAAGCCAGCGAGGGTGTCCGACGTAGAGGAGGAGGATGAGGATGAGGAGGCTGGGAGCGCGCGGCGAGGCGACCCGGTGTTCCGCGCGGGGGCGTGGGCGACGCCGCGCGCTCCGACGTCGATCCGCACGCGAACGACCGCTGAACCGGAAGAACCGGCGACGGTTGCCGCGACGACGACTCCGCGGAGCAAGAAGAAAGCGATGCTGACCGAGGAGCAGTATGAGGCGGTGCTGGAGGCAGACGAACGGGAGGTCGACCCGGACACACGCAGCTCCATCCCCACCGACGTCTTCGACAAGTGGAAGGTAACCGCAGTCTCCCGTCGTCACGGCGACCCCTGTGCGGGAAGCGTGCAGTGTGGCTCATGGGTTCTGGGTGTACTCACGTTCGTTGTAGGTTTTTTTGAAATTTAGAAGATCCGGGAGTTTTGAAGTGACGTTTAGCATGTTGTTGAGAATGGGTTTTCGTTCTGAAAAGTCTAGGAAAATGGGGCAATTATTATGTTTGGTCCTGTTATCACAGCAAGACTGGTTGTATGTATATATAGTAAGTGTGTGTAATAGTGTTTGTAATAAAGTGTATATATATATATAAGTATGTGTATATAGCTGCCGAGGTGGTTTTGCTTTGCCATTGCTACATGCATGTGTTTTGCTTACAGGAGGAACTGAGAGAGAATGGTTACTGCTTCTGTCCAGAATGCACGATCAAGAGGAAGAGTCTCGTGTTCATCTCCCGGCATTACTACAGCTGTCTGCAGGTAACTCCTCACATTAGCCTCACCTACCACATGCGAGCACATGCACTGAAGGAGGAGAGCGCCCAGAAGCTGAGGGAGGAGGCTGTGAAGGAGGAGAACGGGGAGGAGACTCCGACGCCGATGCGGAAGAGGAGGCACGCCGCGGAGAAGTACGTGGAAGCTCGCTGAGCGTGGGTGAGGGTGAGAGGAGAGGAACTAGGGAGGAGCGGAGAGAAACTAGGGAGAGGAAGGGTAGGAAGGTCAGAGAAAGGAAGAGACAGGATCAGTGAGTAGTTGGGGGGAGAGGCCAGATGTGCAGGAAGAAGAGAGAGGAAGCTGTGAGGTAGTTGAAAGATGAGGATGCTGTGAGATCAGTGAAAGATGGGGAGACAGAGGAAGGAGAATCCTATGATCATGCAGCATAGTGTCTATTAACAGCTAATGCTCGTTAATTAAACTCGTTGTTTGTTGCAGAGCTCGGCAGATCGTGAAGAAGATGGCTTCAGACATTGCAGAGTCCGGCAGCAAGAGCCGTGATAGCAAGAAGGAGACGGTACTTCACTGTGTGTGTGCGTGTGCGTGTGCGTGTGCGTGCGTGCGTGCGTGCGTGCGCGTGCTTGTGCGTGTGTGTGTGTCCGCGAGCGTGTGTGTGTGTGTGCGTGTGCGTGTGCATGCACGTGCGTGCGTGCGTTTGTGCGTGTGTGTGTGCAGCATACGTACGCATGATAGGCATGTGTAATGCATTATTATCTGTGTTAATCTCATACTTGCGGCAATGCTTAATTAATTGGTCAGTGCATTTGTTACAGACCGCCCCCTGAAGTCACCAGTGACCACTATTAATTAACATCTAATTAATTAACATGTGTTCTCAGGTTCTTCCCTACAAAGTACCAGACTTCCTTCCTGTTACTCCTGAGATGCTCTCAACCTGGAAGCAGGAGCTGAAGAAGAATGGCTTCATACATTGCGAGTTCCCAGTAAGTCGCTAGAATGCATTTCTCTCGGATGCTATCATCATGAAGGATGGGATGTATAGCTGTATGATCCGCGTATTGCTGGATGAATATCGTAGGCCGTGCATGCTTATGGAACAGGGTTACGTGTCGTACATCATTATGGTATTGTTGTTACATGCCCTGTGCTGTTACGGCACTGTTCCGTGGTTTGCTGCAGAACTGGTTCATGCTGTATGTCACGTGTCACATGTTGTCACAGAACTGTTACATAGCCCATACCACCACAGAACTATTCCATGGCCCATACCACCGCAGAACTATTCCATGGCCCATA